CAGCTACAAATAATTAATTCGTCATATTTACCAAGATATCCAGAACAATTTTTTATGATGATATGACACATACATTTCATTCCCATCAACCGTAACCATCTACGGTGTAAAATGAAACAATATTTAAGAGAAAGAATCCAAGTAACACTTTAAAAAAAGTACTATACAATCTTATCGAAAGCATTCAAGTTCATATTTTATCTTTTTAAGAAAGCTTCACAATACAGAAACAATGATTAGTATGTAACGAGGCTTTAGGGAAATAAAAAAACTTTATACATAATGAAATTTGGGGAATTTCCAATTTTTTTGAAAGAATTAAAACTAAATTATTCCTAATTCTATTAAGAATATTGGCAAATTAAAAAATTCCAGATACCTTTTGATGTAAACCGATTCTATTTATCTGTGGTCTTTGGTCTTTGGAAACAGCATTTATGCTTCAACTCACTCATTATCAAGCTCCATAGCATAAGTCGTAAATATGAAGACCAAGATGATGTGTCATTCTGTTTGGTCGCAGTCTTCTTTAGCTTCGTAGTGTTGATTCGACCATGTTTTGGCAACTTGTTCCGAGAGTCAAGGAGACATTGTGGAGCGTAACTAGTCCCGTGTCCTCTGCCCTCCAATATTCGTGATTTTCAGCATTCGGCCATTGACTTGGTACATTCCCAAACGTTTCGCCGACATTGTAGTCGGCATCATCAATGAGAGGCGCCATCGTAAGTACAGAATTACAACTTATCAGTCACGCGTGAAGACAATCCCCTTGACCAATTTTCTGTTCAACCGTAGTCGCATCACTCCTCGCCCCTATTTTTTGTTATACCTTCTAGTGACTTATCTCTTCCTCTCAAACCCACTTCATATGGAAGTTGTTTGACCTTGTTTTCGCAAATTGGTCATGTTGGTTGGAAGACTCAGAAGAACGCACCTAGTCCGGAGTCCATTGTATGCATCATCATTTCCAGAGTAGGATCGTGGATGTGGTACATTTCCAGACGTTTCGCCGGCATCGTAGTCGGCATCGTTTGTGAGTCTCGCCATTTGTAGCACCACACAACAACTCGTCAAAGAGACAAGTGAAGCCGATCGTTTGACCAAACGTGTGCTAAACAGTTGTGGTATCTCCCCTTCTGCCCTGGCCTATTCACATTTCTTATATCCTTCTTTCACACCTTCACTGTCACAATTGTTACTGTGCTTATTTTTAATGTAGTGTGGTGTGCTCCTTCGAGTGGCGCTCATGAAAACCCTTCACACTCCACACAGTCGTTCTCACCCCTGTCACCCTTGTTCTGGGAATGTTGATCACAGTCT